CACAGCACAGCACAGCACAGCACAGCACAGCACAGCACAGCACAGCACAGCACAGCATAGCACAGCATAGCACAGCATAGCACAGCACAGCACAGCACAGCATAGGATAGCACAGCACAGCACAGCACAGCACAGCACCACTCAGGCTGGCCCTTCGTGGCACCACTGAAGGAGCCAGTGGATGTTGTTGTCACTCCACCACCATCTTCCACCTGCTGGCAGGGAAACACATCAGCTCTGCTCTCAATGTACCCCCGCTCAGCCAATTCCTTTTGGCTGCTGATGGAATAGCATGACCAAGATGAAACATGGACAATGGTGCATGCTGGAAACCAGAGGGGTCTTCCAGCACTTCTCACTCCATAGGAACAGAGGAAGAAGGAAAAGCCCTCAACACGCACCCACAGTGCTCTCACAACACCACGACTTCAGGTCTTTCCTGATATTGATATTTAACCCAAGCAAGATCTGGGTGCAGCCACTGCAAACGACTAAACCTTACTGAGCCCTGAAGATCCGCTCAAACTCGGGGTGACCCGTTGTCTCTGGGGGAGAGATCTTGTACTTCCTCCGGGCGTAGATCACCTGCAGTGCAAAGTAGGCTGAAAGAGAGCAACAGACAGAGGTGACTGTCCGGCAGTGTTGCATTCAACCAAGCTTTCTCCAGTTCAGAGCCAAGCACAGGGCTGGAGGAAAATGGCACTCTGAGGTTCAATTAGAGATGCCCTGAGTGAGAGCACTGTGATGGGGCGATGATCTCTGACACTTCACTCCCATAGGGCAGCCCTGTGGCTGGAGCAGCTCAAGGAGGGGGTGATGGGCTCAGGCCAGGAAAGGTCATTCCACAGTGATGAGGATTTGGACCGTTCCACCATCTGATGAATGATCATTATTCCCACAGGGGAATGCTGATGACGTTTCAAGTGCTTAATTTTGCTTTTGTTGAAAACAAGGCTGTTCATCCAGGAGAACACAGAACTATGAAACAGGCTGTGGTTGCTGTGGCAGAGCTGTGGTTGGGGTCAGTGAGGTGCCATAGGGCACTGAGAGGCAGACAAGAAGCCCACAAGGACCATGTTGTGGCTGTCCTATTGTAAGATAGAGGATAAGAGCAGAGCAGCAGGACAGAGAGAGGAGACAGATGTTGCAAGATTAAAGATGAGTGAGAGCCACACATGCCTGCAGATAAGCAATAGAACAGACATAGAGGGAAAGGGAATTAGAAATGTAAATAATCTGGTGCTATGTGACATATTACACAACGTTACCCACTCAACTATCCACAGAAATGCACTGAAGATGACGTGCACATGTGCTGGTGCCCTGTGCACAGCCCCACGCATGAGTGCTGGGGGGAGGCAGAGGGGATGAAGACCCCTCTGGGGACAGCTGAACGCTTCCTGTGCCAGATCCCACACACAGGTTTGGGGCAGTGCCCTGAGATGTGGCTGGGCCAGCTCGCAGAGGTTGGGATGCCCTTCAAAAGTGCCCTCTCAAGAGAAGGTGCTGAGAAGCTGCACTGCACAAACCTCCTCAGAAGGATGAAGAGCTCCATCTGCTCTGCTTCCCATACTTTGTAGCCCTGTGGGTGCTCCAGAGTGTGGAGCTGTGGCACTGAGGGACAGCTCAGTGGGCAGTATTGGCAGGCAATTGGACGAGATGATCTTAGTAGCCTTTTCCAACCTTACTGATTCCATGCCTCCTGGTTAAACTCAACTGGATGCCTCCATTCCCCACAAGGATGCACCCCCAGACTCACCCACCATCAGCAGGGCTGACAGCTCCATGCATCTGAATACTCTTGGCAAACCTCTCAGTGAGGACTGGCAAGCTGTGACATTGCACAAGGTGTTTCCTGTGAAGCCACACTAAAAGGGGAAAGGAGAACCAACCCCGGTGGCAGTGTTCTGCTCACAGACTGCATGGAACGCTGAAGGATCCCATAAAGCAAACACAAAATGGGGGTGAAGGTGCTCTTTAGGGATGAGCTGATGAGGTTTCCCAGTGAAAAGGTCTCTGAGACACTTCCTTAATTCATTTCAAGCATTCATCTTTCCTTCCCTGCACGCTGAGGGCTCCTTCCACCCCCACTTACATTAATAACCAAAAATGCATAAGACAAAACACTTCCATTTGTTTCTCAGTAAATTGTCTGAGGGAAATGACCACCCTGGAGTCGTGAGCCCCCTTCTCTGAGCAGCCCTTTGGGTTTGAGGTGAGACCTGCACAGAGATGCACCACCTGATGGCTGAAAACAACACAGAGCCACATCCAGCAGCTGTGAGCAAAGGGCCGACAGCTCCGTGGGGATGGACTGAGCAATAAAGACAAGAGCAGCAAAACCACCTGTCCTGCAGAATGGGACAGAGGGCTGAGCACGAGGCACAGACAGAACACAGCTCCTTCCATACATCTCTGATGTGTGTTTGAGTTCTCCATCAGTGCTGCACACACCCACCTTTGTTTCAGCCATTTCCAACCATGCCAAGCCACACACAACGCTCTGAAATTCTATCACAAACCACTCTGCTTTAAAACATTCAATCATTGATGGTGTTCTAAGGTTAGAAGCAAAACTTCAGCTCCCATTTCCCTCTAGGACAGAGGCTTTCAGACTCACACACCTTTTAGTGCCCCAGTGACATCCATAGGCACAATGCCTCCCACCTGCAGCAGCCACAGTGTGCAGCCACTCACCATCACCGAGGGCAGCAGCTTCCATCCCGCATGCACAGCAAACAGAACAGGGGAACCAGCTCCGCATCATTTGATGCGATTAGGTTAATTAGTAGCTGACACAAAGGCCATTTATTTACCTTGCTCCAGGACTCCCAGAACAGTGACAGCAGCCAGCAAGTCTACCTCGCTCCTCATGTTGCCTTCCATGAACCAACGCGCAAATGAAGCACAATGAGGAGAGCAGCTCTCCAGCCCTCCTCCCACCTCTGCACACCCCACAGCAGAGCCCTATTCCCTTGCACAACACGTGTTTCCTCCAAGCATCCACTCCCCCCACACCCCTCAGCCTTCTAGGCAGCTGCCCACTGCCTGGAGAGCAGCAGCACGGGCTGCATGTACCCTAAGGGATCCTTGGACACGTACAGGTTTGGCACTCAGGTTGATTTGTACTGAAAGACAATGAGGTCTTTACTGCTCACTTCAATCACTTCTGAAGTACCTATGTTCTATACAAGGTTGTGCAAGTCTCAGTGAGTACTCACAAATTAACGGCGCGATCTGCTGCTCCTATTCCAAGGACTTCATAGACTTTAGTGCCATCCTTAGAAGAGCACTGGGATGCTCAGCCCATGACAAGTGTAAGCTTACACAGCGCAGCCCTTTTGAGCTCTGTCACTTCTTGTGGTTTTCTGGTGCAGTCACAGCTCTGCAGTACCATTTCCTTGCTCACATGCAAGCCAAAAGCTCTCCCTTCAGAAAGGACGGCAGCACAGGGGAGAGATGGCTCAGAAATACCACAGTAACATCAGAACTATAAGCATGAAATGTAAAGAGCAGCAGTGTTTCATAGACCTGAATGGTTTCTTTTCCTTCATCGCAAAAACCAAACAGACATTGGCTGAAGAAGTTACAAACCGGCCTGGAACAACAGGAGAAAAATAAAAGAGTACTGACTTCAAAGATTTAAAATGGGAGACAGAGAGAAAAAAGAAAATTAGTTTTCACCTCATGCTGATGGAGAGAAGGTGCAGGGAAGGGCTGAACCATTGCATCTCCCCCTGTGCAGATGCACACCCAGCTTCATTCACAGCACCAACAAGGAATGAACAGGCCTGTCGCTCATCCCAAGCAGGATGCTGCAAGTTCTCACTTCTGTTTTCAGTCTTCAACTTCTCAAAACCCCACTGCAGCAGTTTCTCAAGCTGACTTCAACATCACTCAAACACACAGCAGTGCACTTTTCCTGGCAAAACACACGAAATGCAGCACAAGTGCTCCCTATCCTCTCAAAACACAACTGGATTTTGGGTCTGCAGGCTGTTCTGAGGCCCAGACTGAAGGTTAACTGCTCTACTTCCATTTAATAGAAGCTGTTGGTGACCCACAGCTTCACACGGGCATCTACCCTAACATTCAGACTGGGGACATCACCAGACTGCTTTTGCTTACACCATTCCAGCAACCATACAACATTTTAACACCAGCCAAAGAACAAAACCCAAAGTTCAACACATGGAGAACTGTCCTTCAGTGCGTGAAGCTGATTAAAATTCTGCCTATGTAGGGAGATGCTGGGAATTGCTGTAACATGTGAGAGGAACACAGCCTTAGCAAGAAACACAGTTGTCATCGTTCGCAGATTCTTCTTTATCACTTCTGCTTCATCTGTGGTTGGGGAGAGAGATGAGAGGCATTAGTTTGGAACTCCAGATTAGATATGATCAGTTAAAAGCTGCACTTAAACAGGAAACAATACATAAATAACTGAACTTGTAGCTTTACTGCAAGCAGCATGATTCACCACTAAGAGAACTGCTTCAGAACAGTTGAGCAATCCATCAATTATAGCTTGTTAGCAAGACTATTAAAACCCAAACTTGTACCCCTGAAAATGATGACTCCCTCGGATGCTGGTAGAGCCACAGATTTTCGCTTTATTTCTGACCATCCTATGCAGTGTTCAACCAAGAGCTCCATCAGCAGCCCAGATCCACTCTGCTACTGCTTGCCACCACCTCTTCAACCCACCAGCTCCAGACGCACGATGAAGCGACCACAAACCCAGCGACTTTGGCAGCTTTAACCCAAACTCCTCATGCAGCTGCTGCCAGCATTTCTGTCCTCATTCAGCAGCGCCAGCTCCAGAACTCACATTTTGCACACTTTCTCACTTTCAAATTTGGAAATAAAAGAAGTGAAGCGATGCTTAATGAGCAACCCCTCTGTGCTCACACTCCCAGCACCCAGAGGCAGTGGCTGCAGCTCCTTTCCGGAGTTTTCTGCAGTCTCTTTATGCAGCACTGGCTGCCGCTGCCTTTCTGTAGCACTAAGAACTGGTTAAGACACAGCAGCAGAACCTGAGCCTGTGCACCAGGTTGGCCAGAGCTGTGTGCTGGGATGAGGGAACCAACACACTGCAAACAAGGCTGAGCCCTCTGCTGCTCAGCTCACACAAACGTATGACGTCACGCCATGTTTCATACACTAGCAAAATATTTATTTTATAATGATAAAACAGAAGTGAAGGATTTCTTTTTGGTGTGCACCAGTAATTGTAGTAAAAGAATAAGGGGATTAATGGACTCTTTATACATTTCAATGACAACAATTCATAAAGGTTAGCATCAAATTCAACTGTTCTCCATTTACAAGCATAAAACTTACCATAATACCCCCCAAACACATATATAAAGAATTATAGTTTTAAAATCTATAAAAAGTAAAAAATATACAGTCAGAAGATCTAACTCTTATTCAAATCTTTAATATAAAATTGTAAACATTTATTTACACAAAGGAAATGTGTATAACAAAATTTTGAGCACCCTTTTCAATCGAGTCGTGGTTTTTGGAAGGCAGTGGATGTTGCACAGTGACACTCTCACCTTTCCCACCCAACCAAAGCCGCAGTTTATAAATAAAGCCATGGGCGGCTGGCCAGGTGCAGTTCAGGGGAGCTACATTTTATTGCTCTGAAGCTGCAGCAAATGGAAAGCCCAAGTGCATATACAGACAGCTACATGAAAAAGGGCATAAAGGCAAAGCTCAGCCCTACCCATGCACCTACAGACATCTAAACCGTATTTTCCTTTCCTTTCAACTGTTTCAGCATTGTTACAGTGATACCTAACAGCCTGATGCGACAGGGCCCAAGAACAGAAGCAAGGGCTGCTTCTTCCTACGGTCACGTGGAGTTTGGATCCCGTTCACACATGAAGACCAACAGGCATCATAAGCCAGGCAGCCTAGAATCACACTTCATTTTAGTTCAACAGTACCATGAAAAGGCCCTGTCACCAAAACTCGATACCTTCCTGAACAAACCTCTGGTCAAACAGGGCAATATCCACCTCAGCTTCCAGAAACAGCGGAGGAAAGAGCACAGCTGCATTTCACTGGGCATTACGCTGGATTGCCTTTTTGGTAGCAATAATGCAAACAGAAGATGCTCTTTTCCTCTGATTAAGAAATTAAAAGCAGATGGATTTTTTCACTTATTCAGAACAAAGACTGTGTGCAAAATCTACCAGAGAACGTCGCAGACTTCAGCACACTGAACAGGGAAGAACGAAAAGCTGAATCCTACTACCCTGTTATATCTCTCAAGTGTTTGTAAGGGGCAAGGGGGGAGTGGGGGAGTGGAAATAGCGACACTGAAGGGTGTCACTTGAAATTATGAGGTCCCAAACACCCCCAGCAGGAAGGGAAGGCACACTGGTGCAAAGTTAACCCTTAAAAACAAAAATACAGCAAACATTTCTTCCCCTGCCATTGCTAGTTTATCTATACGCTAACGACACTTACCTGGGACCAGTTTTTGGTTTAATACTAAACCACTCACTAGCTCTTTCCTTAGATTGCCAGTACAAGAAAAGTCAGCATCAGTTATTTGCATCTCAACTACTTATTCTAGAGAATATCATAAGTGTCAACAACCAAAGCAACTAACACCTTCGTCCTCCCATCCAAAGACAATCTTAGTTACCTCTGTGAAAGCTCTACAAGGGATTACGTCTGCTTCAGTGAAGTTCTACCCACTACTCAACGGTGGGATCCACCGACCAACCGCATCTTTTGCCAGCGGCTCAACAGCATCAAATCTGTTCAACAGAGCGCAATTCGTCCACACAGGGCGAGCGTGTCGGACAAACCACGTTCCATGCATATTTGGAAAGGGTTAAAGTATTAGTGTTAAAAATACGCAGTTTTTAAAAGTGCAAATTGTCTGACAAAGGAGCTGCAGATACAGGAACGCATTTTCCTTCTTCGAATTCCACGTTATCCTTCGCTTCCCCTCACCCACTGGAATAAAATCCTCTCGCGCATTCTGCAGAGTGGAAAACTCCTGAAGAAGAACAGTCTGTTGAGGGAAATTGCTTTTAAATCACAACGCTGGGTTTGGTTAAAAAGCTTGAAGGAGTTTTCCAAAAGAAGTGGATTTAGAAAGGGAAGAGGTATTTGTGCATTTAAAACAAAAGCTTTCAACTTTATTTTCATTTTAAAGTAAAGGTTAAGGCAAGGTGGTTTGTTGGTGGATAAGGGATCTTTTTTGGTAAAAGTAAGGACTTTGGAACACTGTCTGTTGCCACTGTGGTTTCAGTCCTTCCTGTGAGTAATCCCAACACGGACAAGAGGTCTCCTTGTGCTGAGCTAAAGAACCAGCATCTGCTTCAAGGGATATTAACGGGATAAACCCACCTGTCTACAGAAAGATTACCAAACTCACAACCCAGTATTAAAAACAAAAGTATTTAAAGGGGGAGACTTCAATACTGGAGCAACCTTGATGCAAGCATTCTCCCAGGCTGCTTGTGCTACTGTTACTGCTAAGGACTTTTCACCTCTCAGCCAAGTTCTTTTTTTCCTCATTTTACCCTGAAGTGACAAAGTCTTGTGCTCATTGTGTCACTGCTCGCTTTGGGGGATGAACTGATCTCAAATGTTAGTTTTACTTTTTACAACAAAGAAAACTAAATGAGCTGTCATGAAGCAAAGCCTTCATTTAAATACAACTACCTTTGGAAATAAGTTATGAAGAAACAGGTGCAAAGGAAATGGCTTTACAATTCATGTTAAACCTACTATAGTTTAAAAGTTCTCCCATAAGAAATTCCCCCTTTAAACACAGTAAGGTATAAGCCAAGAACTGTGCCTCTCTACAACAGAGTGCAAACTGCAGCTTAAAAGACTACAATCTATTAAGAAGACTACCTTGACTAACTGGCCAGGTTTTAATACTT